AAAAGAATGAGATAAGAAAAGCCTCTTAAATCCAGACATGAAACCCTGGGTCCATTCTTGAACTCTCACCTTTACCCTTTGCAGGATGTACAATGATATTTATTCTATCATTATAAGTTTTAATTTTTTTCCTTAATATTTTTTAAACTTCATTTACCTAGATGAAATATATAAATTCCTGAAAACATTCATTCTTTCTTCAGAAAGAAATATAAAATCAGAGCAGACCAATTACTAGCAAGGAGATTGAATCAGTAATTAAAAATATCCCAACAATGAGAAGACCAGGATCAAATGGCTTCACTGGTGAATTGCAGCAAACATTTAAAGAAGACTTAATACCAAAACTCCTCAAACTCTTCCATGAAAAATAAGAGGAGGGAATATTTCCAAACTCATTTTATGAGGCCAGTATTACCGTGATATCAAGCAGATAAGGACACTACAAGGAAAGAAAACCACAAGCCAACATCCCTAATGAGCACAGATGCAAAATTCTCACAAAAATATTCAAACAATATTGGATATTACATTAAAAGGATCATATACAATGATCAAGTGGGATTAATTTCTGGGATGCAAGGATGGTTCAACATATGAAAATCAATAAATGTGATACAGCACATTAACAAAAGATAAAAATCATGTGGTCACCTAAACAGATACAGAAAAAATATTTGATGAAATTCAACATCACTTTGTGATAAAGACACTAAAACAAATTGGGTATAGAAGAAACATACCTCTATACAATAAAGCCCATAAATGACAAGCCCACAAATCGGCATCATACTCAAGGGTGAAAATTGAAAACTTTTCCTCTAAGATTCAGAAAAAGACAAAGATTCCTACTCTTGCCACTTTTATTCAAAATAGTCCTGGAAACCATAGCCAGAGCAAGTAAACCAAGAAAAATAAATAAAAGGCATTCAAACCAGAAGGAATAAGTATAATTTTTTGTTACAGGTGATATGACATTGCATGTAGAAAATGCTAAAAACTCCACCAAAAAATTGTTAGACTAATAAATGAATTCAGAAAAGTTGCCTGATACAAAATTAACAAACAAAATACATTTACATTTCTTCTTTTTGACATGTCTATTTATTTAGAGAGAGCAAGAGAGAATGAATTAGGGAGGGGCAGAGAGAGAAGGAAAGAGAATCCCAAGCAGGTTCCATGCTCAGCATGCAGCCTGACGCAGGGCTCAATCTCATGACTATGAGTTAATGACCTGAGCCAAAATCAAGAGTCAGACACTCAACCAACTGAGCCATCCAGGTACTCCCATTTACCTTTCTGTGCACTAACAATGAACAAACAAAAACAGAAATTGGAAAAAGAATCCCATTTACAATAGCATCAAATATAATACAATGTTTACAATAACTTTAACCAAACAGGAAAATCTGTACACTGAAAATCACAAGGCATTGATGAGAGAATTGAAGAAGACACAAATAAATGGAAAGATATTCCATGCTCAAGAACTGGAAGAACCAATGTTAAAAATACTGGGGCACCTGGCTGACTTAGTTGGCAGAGCATGTGACTCTTAATTTCATGATCATGAGTTGAGCCCCATGTTGGGTGGGGAACCTACTTAAAAATAATGTCTGTACTACCTAAAACAATCAAGAGGTTCAATGCAAGCTCTATCAAAATTTTGATGGCATTTTTTTTTTTTACAGAAATAAAAAAACAACTGTCCTAAGGTTTGAGTGAAAGCAAAAAAGACCACAAATACCCAAAGCAATATTGATAAAGAACAAAGCTGGAAGCGTCACACTTCCTAATTTCAAACTATATTACAAGCTATGATAATCATAATAGTATGCTATGGGGAGTCTGGAAGGCTCAGTCAGTTAAGCATCTGTCCCTTTTGACTCAGATCATGATCTTGCAGTTCATGAGTTCCAGCCCTGCATGTGGCTCCGCATTGACAATAAATAAACTTTCAAAAAAAAAAAAAAACCAATAGTATGCTAGACACAAAAATCGATAGAAAAGAAATAGCACAAAAAGAACCCCATGTATTTATGCTCAATTAATTTTCAACAAAGGAGCTGAAAATATACAATAGGAAAAGTATAGTCTCTTCAATGAATGGTGTTAGGAAAACACAAGAGCCACAAGCAAAAAAATGAAAATGGACCACCATCTTATACCATACACAACAACAACTCTTAATGGATTGAAAACCTGAACATGAAGCCTGAAACCTAAAACTCCTGGAAGAAAACAAATGAGTTACAAGACCTTGATACCGGTCTTGGCAATGAATTTTTAGATTTGATAACAAAAGCGAAGGCAACAAAAGCAAAAACAAACAAGGGGGCCTACATCAAATTAAAAATCTTCTGCCTAGAAAAGGAAACCACCAACAAAACAATGTCTGATTCCTGTGGAATGATGGGGGAATTTGCAAACCACATATCTTAACAAGGGGCTAATATCAGGAAAATGCAAATCAAAACTGCAATGAGTTATCACCTCATGGCTTTTAGGGTATTTATTATGAAAAAGCCAGGATATAACAAATTCTGGCAAGGATATGGAAAAAGGGAACCCTTGTCCACTGTTGGTGGTAATGTAAACTGGTAGAGTCACTACAAGAAATTAAAAATAGAGCTACCACTTGATCCCGCAATCCCACTTGTGGGTATATAACCAAAGAAACTAAATCACTGTTTCAAAGAGACATCTTTATATCTCTTCATATCCCCTTTTATATCACAAAGGCCAAAGTATAGAAATAACCTCAGTGTTCATCTATGGATGAGTGGATAAACAAAAGGTGGCAAATATATACAATGGAATACTATACAACCTTAAAAAAGAAGAAAATCCTTCCATTTGCAACAACACAGATGGAACCTAGAGGCCTTATTCTGAATGAAATAAGTCAAATAGAGAAAGATAAACATTGCATAGTACCACTTATACATGAAATCTGAAAAAATAAAGTCGAATGCAGAGAAACAGTAGGATGCTCGTTGTCAATGGCTGTGGAGTGGGGGAAATAAGGAGGGGTTGGTAAAAAAAAGATGCAAACTTTCAGTTTAGGATGAATAATTTCTGAGGATCTAATGTATAACATGGTGACTACAGGCGATAACACACTATTATATAATTAAAATTTTCTAAGAGGGGAGAACTTAGGTGTACCAAAACCAAACAAAAAAGGTAAATTTGAAGCAGTGGATGTGTTAATTAATACATAGATGTTTCTCCTCCATGAAAGGATGGAGGGAAGGAATTCTTTCACCATGTATTCATATGTCAAATCATTTTGTTACACACTTCAAATATATTACAATTTTATTTGTTCTCTCTATCTCAATAAGGCTGATCCACAGAAAACAATGTATTGATTACATTTTTAAGTTTTTTTTCTATTTTTTTTTTTTTTGAGACAGACAGCATGCACACTCATGAGCAGGAGAGGGGCAGAGAGAGAGGCAAGAGAGAATCCCAAGCAGACTCCGTACTGTCACCAAAAACTCCAACCTGGGGGTTGATCCCACGAACTGTGAGATCATGACCTGAGCGGAAATCGAAAGTCAGACACTTAACCGACTGAGCCACCCAAGTGCCCTGATATGCTGATTACTTTTTTAAAACTAGGGGAGGCAAACAAGGGATGGGCTAAATGGGGGATGGGCATTAAGGAAGGCACTTGTGATGAGCACTGGGTGCTGTATGTAAGTGATGAATCACTAAATTCTACTTCTGAAACCAACATTGCCCTCTATGTTAAGTAACTAGAATTTAAATGAAAACTTGACACAAAAAGTAAATAATTAAAAATAGACACAGGTAAAGAAAAAAAGTATATAGAATACTTATACCGACTGAGAAACAATTACTCTTAATATTTGATTTACATGTATCTGTATCCATTAATATATTTCCCTAGGTAATTTCATTTAAGTCCACAGTTTCAACTGTCAACCATCCACAGCTGAGTCACCAATCTACATCTCTAGTCCAATTATTACTATCAAGTTCCAGCTCTATATATTCATCTGCTTTGGTTTCAACATTTATATATTTCAAAAGCACTCAGCAAGATGAAAATCAACCACCTGGACCAATCAACCACTTGGTCCTTGTTCAGGGTCACCCATCTTAGGGAAGGGTCTCTCCTTCCATACAGTTGATCAGTCAAAATCTGATGCCTCTGTTTTTTTTAAGTTTATTTATTTTGAGAGAGAAAGAGAGAGAGAGAGAGAGAGAGAGAGAGAGCGAGAGAAGAGAAGAGAAGAGAGAGACGAAGATAGAGTGGGGAGAGAATCCCAGGCCGGCTCTGCACTATCAGTGCAGACCTCAATGCGGGGCTTGAACTCACAAACCATGAGATCATGACCGGAGCCAAAATTAAGAGTCAGACTCTTAACTAACTAAGCCACCAGGCACCCCATCATAAATCTGAGACCCCTTTAACACCTTCCTCACATTTCTCTGCAACAAACCAATCACAAAGACGATCTAATTTGCTTGTTAACCATTTCATCTTTTCTCCATTTTTACTGTCCTCTCTCTGGTTCAAGCTATCATGATCTCTTCCCTGCATTGTAACTTGTAACTGATCTCGCTGTAGTCTTTCTTGCTTCTCTTAAAAACTCCTTACCACAAACATCAGAGGAATGTATGTAAATGCCAACAGGCTGATGGTTTTACCTTATTTTTAGGATGAAATTTAATGTCTGGAATCTCAAATAGACCTATGGTCTGTCTTAAAAGTGAATATAACACAGTGAATAAGATTCAATCTGGATGCAAAGCCCAGCCCTGCCAAGACTCTGTAATCAGAGGCAAATTTTTAATTTTAGTGTTGTTATCTGTAGAAATGAAAATAGCCATATCTACCTCATCTACCTCAAAAGTTTCTGAGAGTATTTTATGTAATAACTGTATAATGCTTAATACAGAGGAAATATTTAATGTTTGCTGAGAAATCTCTCATAATTCCTTTTTTCCAGTTCAACATCTCCCACAATCACTGTTATTCCCTAACCTCTAGCCACCTATGCCTATTTCCGTTTCTAGGTTTTATTTTTTTTTATTTTTTTAAAGCCTATTGAGATTTTTTTTTAATTTTTTTTTTTAAGTTTATTTATTTTTGAGACAGAGAGAGACAGAGCATGAACACGGGAGGGTCAGAGAGAGGGAGACACAGAATCCGAAACAGGCTCCAGGCTCTGAGCTGTCAGCACAGAGCCCGACGTGGGGCTCGAACTCACATACCGCGAGATCGTGACCTGAGCCGAAGTCGGACGCTCAACCGACTGAGCCACCCAGGCGCCCCTCCGTTTCTAGGTTTTAAAAAAAGCCATATAACCTTTTTTATCTTTCTTGACCTCCCCTATATTCTTAACCCCTGAATGCACACAGTTAGTTCTTAAGTCTCCCATCCTAGAGATTGTAGGCAGGCCAATTAGAGCAGCTACCATTTTTGCATACTTTGCTAAGACCACACTTATTTTTACAGTGCTTCACAGTTGTAACTTCACATTCATTTATATGCATATTTACTTGATTGAGGTTTTTCATGTAACAGGCCATAAACCCAAAGGGGGCTAAAGTCATGATAGTTTTGGATCACCATTGTCATTTTAGCACCCATAATACCACCCAATTCATAATAGGAGCTGAGTAACTGTTTCCTGAATAAATTAAAAATGTGATTTTCAGCTTTTATATTAATGGATACAATTCTGCAATATCATTTTAATGGTTGCATTAATGTCCCAAAGTATTTACATGGCATGATTTATTAAAGAACGTATTTTGATGAGAGTGAAAGTTTGCTTCCAAATTCCGTGCTAAATACTGATGTGATAAACATTCTGGAAGCATCTCTGTGCACATTATTAACCACTTTTGTAGAAAATGATTTCTACAATGATTTTGTAGAAAAGTCTCAGAGTTTCCTCTCCAGTATTTTTTGCCTATCAGTGTGATCCCAACACCTTTCTACTTCAGAGGGTTTCCTCAAACTTTCTAGTATATTGCTGCCACTAGACTACATTCCTTTTTATGAGTTTCTTTTTGGCTTTATATTTTTCATTTAATCTTTTTCTGCCTTTCAGAGGGACATGTCTGATGCTCAGTCATCATCTTGGACACAGTCTACTAAAGCTATTCACTTTTTATTTCTCAAATTGCCATAATATGCATTATCTAATTTTTAGTTTCCTATATACTTAGTGGTCTACACCTAGGACTGTAAGTTTGTCCAATTTCAGGAAATCTAGCTGGATTCAGAATTTAAATCACTTGTCAAAGCCCCCTTAACAAGCAATAGGCACAACCATCATTAAACTCATGCTTTCTAACTCTTTCACTGGGCCTTGCCTCCCTCTGCACTACACTGTGACAAAGTTACTCTGTATATTACCCTAAGCCCATTTGTTAAGAGGAATATATACATATATATGTATACACACACACACACACACACACACACACACACACCTCTAAAACTTAGAGAGTATGTTTTATATTTGAGGCTACTATGCCACCACACTTTTTATTAAAAACTAACACTGATTAATTTACTATTTCTCTAACTAGAAACACACACACACACACACACACACACACACATTATTGTGCAGCCCAATACTGCCAGATTACTATTATTTCAAAAGTTTGAAAATCTGGGTTTCTTTGTGAACTTTTTAAATGTTGTTAACAAATTCTAACAACCACAGAATACACACTGTTGGGGGAAAATACATATTGGAGTACACATGCAATATACAATTCATTTGGACTAGGTTGGACAGTTTGTAACATCTGATGTGGTTACTACCTTTTGATGTTTTAGAATCAAAATAAATAGTAAGATTTTAACTCTATATAATTCACTGACTATAACATTTTAGTTACATACAAATAAATTGTATTTATATATGTATATTTTTGAAGAATGGATATGATAATTAAAAGTAAATTATGTGAAATACATAGTATAGCATCTGGTATGGAAGTAGTGAACTACTGTTATATTTCCCTTTTGGATGTCTCAAGAATCATCAAAGGCACAGTGTGTTGTTTTGTCTTGGTTTTGGAAATGTCCATTAAATAAATGCCCAGATAAGGCAGCCTTAATAATTTCTCAAGGTCATTTGTGTCAGTGACATATTGTTCCCTATCAAGGATTAGTTATGTCTACACTATACATACATAATCACCTGAAACGTGATGACAAACAATTCTTGCTGAATGCATTTTTCTTAGAATAATATTGAACTCAAGGTGTCATTCATGAGATCACATGGAAAAATCTACACAAAGGTAACAAAATGGAAATATTTTTTTCCTTATCAGTGTCTTAGATGAACTCACAAAGTCAGTATTTGGAAGTGATGATGCCTACAATTTTGCTAGCTACCAGTAGATTACAGTGGTGTATTGAACAAAGACAGATTCTGTATTGTCTGCAGACAATACAGAAGAATGACTAAGAGTATAAACTGTGGGGTGACCCTGGCTTCAACAATGTACCCTCAACAATGCCAAGAGAAATGGGCAATTAAATCTCCCTGTGTATCAGGAGCTCCATCTACGTAATAGGAATTTTACTTCTTATGGGCTAAAGTGAAGATTAGATTGGATAACGCTTATAAAGATCACGGTGAGCATTCAATAAATGCTAGTCATTGGTGGTATGATTATTGGGATCACAGCCAGCACTCTACCACAGCAAGTTAATTAGGTTGGGCTAACTGGCTCACACTTCTCTAGCTGGTGATGATGGATGATAAATTCTGATTAAAAATTCAACCTTTCATCTTTTATGACAGTTTTTTCTCTGTTAATTTAAGAGTAAAGGCAAGGTAGCATCATTAAAGGCCATGAAAATAAGCCAGTTCAGCTGGGTCTTCTTCCCAGCTCATTTCCAAGCCAAGTGTGAGTCTCTGGTCAGTCTCTAACTTTCTGTCTTTGGCTAATGACATTTACGGCTATTTTGCTTTCTTATTACTAAGTTTTCTCAGCTTTTAAATTGGGAATTTAGGGTAAGATTTCAAGAAATACAAACCTGTGTTAGGTATCACATATGATAAGGATCAATTATCTTGATCGTTGATGAATATGGCACCGTATTGTTATTGTTGTTGTCATTTTTCCTTATGGAAGTTTCTGGGCTTCAGGACCATGGACAAGAAAGATCAGTAATAAAATGAAGGTATATATTTGTAGCCTGAAGTAAAATAAATATGGAAAAATGCTGAGAATCAGAGCTGGAAATCTTGAATCATGTAAATACACACATATACTCAAGGCTGAGATACAAAAGTTAATTGCATCCCTATTATGTAATAAATAGTAGAGAAATAAATACAATATAATTTTCCTCATTTTCAAGGAGTTTAACTGTCTGGAAACCAAAATTGCTCAACCTAGAAACTCAGATACAAACAGGCAAATCCAAGCTTATGTTTTGAGTGATTATCTTATGCTGTAGAATTAAAACTTGTTTCCACTTTTAAGCTATGTAACTGTGAACTCTCTATGGTCCTATTTATCATCTATAAAATGGAGATAATAGTTACCTTAGACACTTTGATAAATGAGATAGTGCATGTTATCACTGAATCCAGAGCCTAGTGTATAGTAAGCATTCAATGTGATTTGGTGGGCAATGATCATGGCTATTAGGAGGAGTTATATTAATTCTTCTAGCATTAAAAGATTAATCGATTTCAAACTGAACATACCATGTTGACCCCCTTTAGGAAAAAAAACATAAAAACTACATTGTGTCTATCTCAATTGAACCACAATTTAATTCAGTAGCATTGTTTGCTTAAATTATGCCAAAAAAAACCAGTCATCACAAAACTGACTCACAGTTCATGAACGTTAAGGAACCAACATTAGACATGGGAAATTGGAAGTGTAGTTTACTACAATTATCTCCAGGGTACCCTAATCTACAGAGGATTTCCTTGGCATGAGAAGAAAGCCAAGGGTTTTACTCACAACATTCTCAAAGGAAAAAAATTCAGATGGAAGAGACACCGCCTGGTGCAGTGGACTGTGAGGGAACAAGATCTTACTGCCTTCAATTAATTTATTTTACAGAAAGCTGGAAGCTTTATAGAATTAGAATTACTTGTATTGTGCTGGGCTTTTTTAGGGAGGGGTTGGTTGGGGAGCTTAGGAAAACCTTCAAAGAAATAAATGCATTTCTTGGTTTACTCATGGACTTTACTTTCTTCACAAAATTTGACACAGCTGGCTACTGCTGTAAAACTTATGCCAGTATGATAACCAGAAACCATGTAACTTAAAAGAGACATATTTTCCTAAGGTGTATATATTACCTAAATGTCATGCTCTAAAGAAGCCAGGTATTAACAGAAGCAAGAGAAGAAAGTTTTCCTAGAAAATGTAAGGATCCTGCAGAACTTGCTTGCTATGCACTGATTGAAATCACAGAAAGATATGGAAGGCTAGAGACCATGCTTCAAGAAGAACCAAATCCATTTTCTTTTTCCAAAAGCTCAAAGCTACTTATTTCTTGAGTTCAATTTTTTACATATATTGGAGTGCTAAGTTGTAGGGGCCTCAAAGTAGCATTTTAAACAGGCAAAGGCAAAAATAGTAATTGTGTCCTTTTGAACACATGTCAAAAAGCTGTATCAAGAAAGCTAAACTCTATATAAAATATTCAGTTCGTCTCAACACGTTTATCCAATCTCAATCTTTTCAACCAACTAAGAACTCTCTGACAAAACATTCATAATTAATTAAGGCATTGGAATTGTGCCTGCCCTTGAAAAGAATACAATCTCATGGGTGAGAGACAAAAACAATTAATAACAATAAAGATTATGAAACATATGACAACTAGGCAAAATAGAGCATGGGGGAGGTATACTTAAACCTAGCTGAAAGTGTGAGAGGTGATGTCTGAGCTAAGACTTGAAGTAAATTAGATAAATAAAGAAGGCAAGGACAATCCTAGATATGAGTAATCAATAACAGTGAGAGAAAGGACAAAAACA